AACTGATTTATCGTAAAAAAAAAAAGATTACAATTTTGCCGTATCCCGTGAAACCCCCTGGTGCGGATGCGGAATTTTGAAAAAGAGCGCGCCGCGCCGCCACTGCTCACAACTCTCTTTTTTGACAGCTGTCAAACGGCGGCCATGCTGGATATTTTTTGACGTTTCGAACGAAGTGGTACGAACTTTTCGGGTGATCTTTTGCAGGATTCGATTGGATTTGAACCACGTTTCAGCCGAGTGAAAAATGAGCGGCGGCATCAAAATGTACGCGGCGCGCCAGATCGTGCGACACGATCTGCCCGTCGAGCTGCCCAACTGCATGTACACCCTTGCAAACATCCATAGGAACGGTGTCACCACCAAGGCCAGTGCGACGAAGGTGGCGACAGGGCAACATCAGCAGCAGCAGCCGTCCGCAGACATTTCCGAGCAGGTTAAACTGTTTTTAAAGGTTTATAAAAAACAAAATACGGATCCATACAACATCATTAACAGCACAAACTCACGCAACAGATCGCTCGCACGCTCCACTCACCGTTTTTCGCACTCCTCCAGACGTTCTCCTCACCAAAGTTTGCTTTCCCATGACACACACTCACTGTCTGTCTGACTGCTGCTGCTTCTACTACTACTGCAGGTGCATGCACACAATTTCAGGGAACAACTGTCAAAAAAGTGTGGAAGATTGCTATTAACACATTTTAATGTGCTACAACCATTTGACACATGCACACTTGAAAAGGACGAAAAAAAAGAAACAAAAGCTTTTCGTGACGCTCTCGATTTTTAATTCCGCAATTTTAATTTATTTTTTTTTTTTGTGTTGATGTTATTGTTTTGCGCTTCAAGTGTTTGCTGATCGGTTAACCTGAAACAGTGTTTATTAGACTGATGTAATTCACTCTAGATATCCTCTTTAGAACAACTCCGACTTGAGGGGGATGGCAGCGTTGGAGTCGAAACAGCAGCAGTTGCTCAAGCAGCTCGAGGAGCTGAAGCAGCAGATGCTCGGCATCAAAGATGATCTCAAGGCTATCGGCGGAAGCACCCCTGTCTCCAAATCCACCTGCAAAAAATCATCATCAGCCAAAACTGTTAGCAATAAATCACTTAAGGTAAATATATATTATCATAATTCTATTGTAATATCCTATAAGATTTGGTAGTAATGAAATTAAATTTGTTTCAGGTATCGAATATTCCCGACATCGTGATCAACGCACACC